GAAAAACTCCGCCACTACCACCAGGCAAGCGACCACCAGTGGACGCACCAGCAAAAAGGAGGCCGGCAATTCCGTGCGAGAGGACACCACCATCGGCGAGAATCGCACAGAAAAAGCTGAAGTTGTTGATGGAAGAAGAAATACGCCCAACACCCGCGAGACGCCGACCACATATCAACCCGGTGCTCTGGGGCAAGAGACCCGGAAACAACACGGCGCAATCCGGGGATACAACGCCACTAGAGCAAAATCGAACAGAAGACAATCAAGGCAAAACAACACAAAGCACACCACCGGTATCAAAAATTAAAATAGTCACAGATACAATACTACCAGCAGGCCAACGCATAAAATTAGAAAGGACACCACAAACCAAAACCCAACCATCGACAACGATCACGCTCGACAACGGACGAACAGTAGAGATACCGTACCACGCGGTGCACACATCAAGAAAATATCGCCGCTATATAAACGGGGAGCTTTGGCGATTCCGCTTCGGCCCTACGGGCACACTCAAATACGCCAGAAGAGCCTAAAAGGCACCGAAAATAGGAACCGGAGGAACTCGGCGACCTCCGGTACCACTATGCCGACACCAAAGGTCAACCCGGCGACCTCTGCGCAAACGACGACGAACAACCGTCGCCAACACCAATCTTATCAGCATAGACAAACCAGAAGGAGAGGGGAGAAATCTCCAAGAAAAGGGAGAAAAGCGCCAAAAACGAGGATAACAGGAGCCGATCTAGGAAGACCAGACACACTCTGCGGCGAACCGACACACGAGAGACACAGAGAGCTAGACACACACACAGCAAAGCCCGACTCACGGAAACGCAAACACCAGAGGATGAGCGTCAACAGGGAGATACTCCGGTGGCTGGAAGACTGGCAACCGCCTCCGAGAAGCGACGCAACACCAGAGCGCTTGAACAACCAAGTGGAGCCAGCAAACGACCCAAGGCAGGAAGACTCAACAACAGTCTTGACGATAGTTACAACGGAAAACACAGTACCAGCACGGCCACAAACTCATCCACCACCACCTCAACAGCGGACCGTAAGACTCCCGGACGGGAGACAATTCTCCATACCGCGCCACGCAGCCGCGAAATACATAAAATATCATGTAGCAATAGACGGCGAGATATGGCGCATTCGTTTTTGGCCATCCGGCGCGGTGAAGTCAATCTATTAAGTGCCCGGGACGTGCACCTAGTCACGCGGGGGGATGATGTAAAGAGCCGTTCGCAAAACAAATAGAAATAAAAATAGAACAAGAACCGGGTAACGATAATCAAACGACTCGTCACGAAACCGAACACGCGACAAACCAATGTAAACATCAGCGACCGACCGCAAAGATCACAACATAATATCATGTTAAAAGTAGTATAAAAGACCGCACGAAAAGCTCAGTGGAGAGCAGTCTTCCGAGGCACTCCGCTGAACAGAGCTCAGACTCCGACAGCACTAGCACCTCACGAACACCGCTAACTAGAACACCGTTTCCTAGACCTTCCTCGTCACCGCTCCGTCAACTTGTTGGGTACGTAAAGTCGGCATTCCTCGATACCGCTCCGTCGACTTATTGGATTCGTAAAGTCGACATCCGCGTAGACTTATTGGATTCGTAAAGTCTACATCCTTG